ATACATTATAATCATGATGTGAAGTTGTGTCTCCCTTAAAAAAAATTTGATTCGACCATTTTTCAAAAGTTATTGCCCTTTGTTCATTTTAGTATTTGATTTTTGTCCGGCAATCTCCTCCTACATTTTTCAACGGATCTCTTTGAAACTAGGTATATATTATAATCATGATATGAAGTTGTGTCTCCCTTAAAAGAATTTTGATTTTACAATTTTCCCAAATGTTATTGCCCTTTGTTCATTTCAGTATTTGATTTTTTGTTTGGAGATCTCCTCCTACATTTTTTGACAGATCTCTTTGAAACTTGGTATACATTATAATCATGATGTGAAGTTGTGTCTCCCTTAAAAAAAATTTGATTCGACCATTTTTCAAAAGTTATTGCCCTTTGTTCATTTTAGTATTTGATTTTTGTCCGGCAATCTCCTCCTACATTTTTCAACGGATCTCTTTGAAACTAGGTATATATTATAATCATAATATGAAGTTGTGTCTGCCTTAAAAGAATTTTGATTTTAAAATTTTCCCAAAAGTTATTGCCCTTTGTTCATTTCAGTATTTGATTTTTTGTTTGGAGATCTCCTCCTACATTTTTTGACATATTTCTTAGAAACTTATATTAGTAGGCTAAATAATCCTGATATGTTGTTGTGTTTCCTTGAAAAGAATTTTGCTTCGACGATTTTTGCAAAAGTTTTTGCCCTTTGTTCATTTCAGTATTTGATTTTTTTATCTGGAGATTTTCTCCTACATTTTTATAGCATATCAGCTAACCACTCCTTGAATGATGCAGATCTTATTTCAATGTAAGAAAGTATATAACACTATATGGCATTCGATGGGCGTATATTGTTCCGCCCCGCGGTACTTTTGTCCTTGTTTAGAATCAGAGGTGCTAGTTTCAAATACTTTTCAGTCTTAAATCTGTGTGCTAGATATTGAATAAGGTGGTTTTATTGTTTTTTGTCACTTAGAATAATATTTCTGTTCATGTTAAAAATCAACTCTCTGTATACTCTCTGTATCAGGTGACCAATAAGGCTCATGGGCCTCTTGTTTATATATGTATTTTTTTTTGTGTGAATCTCGTTTTGAAATCTTATTCAGAGAAATAAAGCATTTACTTACTTATTGAATAATAAAATGTACTTATAAGAACGGTGGGACGTCGTTTTTGCCTTAAAAAACGTCTCTGTTTATCAAAAAGAAAGTTGCAATGGCGTGACGTACTAATAAGGGCACAGATCCGGAATCAGAAATTTAAAACTATAATATAAACAATAATCACACATATTAAAATAAATAAATAAAATCGCTCACCTTCAATTTAAAAGTAAATAATCCCCATTTTAATATTGTAGTTACTGAGGGGGAAAAAAGTTACAATATTTCAAGAAAACTGATAAGGAAAAATTGTTGTCCGAGATAGTCTGCTGGGATAAATCTGTTTTCGGTCCTGTAAAAATAATTTCTTAACCTGTCCGAATGTCCTGTAATGATTTTAAAAGTTTGGTACATACTGCTTGATGCATTAAGGCTTTATTTAATATTTGATGATACTTTTGCTGAAAAAAAAAGTTTTTAAATCTTGGACCAGTAAGTTTCTACTTGGGGTACGGTAAACCTCCGGTCAGTTCGAATCGGCTGATAGTTCGAACACGTTTTTTTTCCAATAAAACAATAATTTTCTAGCTAGTGATAGTTCAAACTCTGATTGACCCTATTTCGGATAGTCCGAACTTGTCAAATGAAGAACGTAAAGTATTTTTTTTTCTCCGGCAAACTCCATTGAAAGCTCGCGGCGATCGGCCCCGGAAAAATGCCAATTCTTTGATCAACAGACACGTTTAGGGTAATGGGTTGTATGTGTGAGCATTGCAGTATAGTTGTGACAGACAAACCATAAATATATGTCACAGGTTTTAGCGTTGATTCATTTTTTACATTGTTTGAAAAATATATCGTGAATGAGACAGTCAATTGCAACTTAGGCCCCGACAATGTATAAATAACATGCGATCAGTATGAACTGATGTCACGCTGTATGGCAAACTAAGAAATCGCCCGTGTATTGTCAAATACAGTGTTAACTAAGCATTTTGATTATTTAATTGCGACCAGACATCCCTTAATTATTGCCAATCAAGGTGTTACCTTTAATGTGTGCCCTCACACCAGGTAGCTAGGGTAGGACACGATGTCGCGGTAGGGATCGGCCGCCCAGCCATTGTGAGTGACGTGTTAGCATTCATGTCAAAGTCCAAAAATCCACAGGTGTCCCAATTAGCGATGGGTAATTTTGAAAGTTTCAACTAAGTTTGGTAGGTATCAGGACACAAGCTAGGTAGTCTAACTTTTGTGTCACAAATGAAACGTGTACTGACTGTTTAGGGGCCTACACAATAGCCTCTGCTTCGCAATAACGATAATAATTATCACGAAATGAAGAAAGTTTAATGATCAATTAACATTGAATTAAATAATATACTATCATTTTACCCATTTATAAATGTGCCATTGTTCTATGCCAGGCCGTCGTTGTTACGTATCGACCTTACATTGGATATATAGAGGTATACTCCAGTGAAGAAATATGTCGGGTATATGTTTGTGACTTGATTTACACTTTGCCGAAATTTTTGCCGATAGTTCGAACTCACGCTTAATTTCTGAAGCATAATTTTGTATAATCCGAACAGGTTCATCATTATTTATTTAATTTTGTTCAAACTGACCAAAGGGTTTACCTTAAGTGCATTTGAAGATTTAAAAAATATTTTTCTTGCCCTGATTTAATAAGAGGTTTCCTAGGATTTGGTATGTGATAAGCATGTCTAAGTAAACAGAAAATTATCTTATCTATCTAATAAGAGATTTCCTGATAAGTTGGTGACTAGCGTGTTTATTAGTCCCCCACCGGTTCCCAGGGGGACTAAAGGTTTGCACTCTTTTTGTACGTCCTTCAATCCGAGATGTTTGTCCGGGACATATCTTCTATATTATTTCACCTGGAGTATATATTGGGATGACGGAGTGCAAGAAAAAGGTCACTATGACCTCACTGTGACCTATGCTTTGACCTTAACGTTTGAAAAGTTTGTCCAGGGCATTTTCACCTGGAGTAACCAGATTTGTTGTACTAGGGACATCTTGGTATGGCGGAGTTCAAGAATTAGGTCACTATGACCTCACTGTGACCTATGCTTTGACCTTTGACCTTACCTATTGAATAAGTTAGCAATCATTAGCGGTGGGGGACTATGGGTTGTAATACTTTGCCTTGGGGTGGTTGATTCCATATTTTTATGTCGCCTGCAGAACAGGTGACATAGTCGTTATGGTTGAGGTAATGTGACAGGTTTGGCTCTCACGTCGCTATGGTTGAGATAATGTGACAGGTTTGGCTATGAAGTCGCTATGGTTGAGATTATGTGACAGGTTTGGCTCTCACGTCACTATGGTTGAGATTATGTGACAGGTTTGGCTCTCACGTCCCTATGGTTTAGGTAATGTGACAGGTTTGGCTCTCAAGTCGCTATGGTTGAGGTAATGTGACAGGTTTGGCTATCACGTCACTATGGTTGAGGTAATGTGATAGGTTTGGCTCTCACGTCGCTATGGTTGAGGTAATGAGACAGGTTTGGCTCTTAAGTCGCTATGGTTGACGTAATGCGACAGGTTTGGCTCTCAAGTCGCTATGGTTGAGGTAATGAGACAGGTTTGGCTCTCAAGTCGCTATGGTTGAGGTAAAGTGACAGGTTTGGCTCTCACGTCGCTATGGTTGACGTAATGCGACAGGTTTGGCTCTTAAGTCGCTATGGTTGACGTAATGTGACAGGTTTGGCTCTCACGTTGCTATGGTTCAGGTAATGTGACAGGTTTGGCTCTCAAGTTGCTATGGTTGAGGGTTGAGGTAATGTGACAGGTTTGACTCATGTGTGGAACTCCTGTGATAAGCTGTGTAATCCTTCCTCTGTACTTAAGGTCATAGGAGTGTATTGATAAACGGAGGTAGGAAGTACATCCCTAGTTGAAAATCCAATGTAGGGAGACAGTATCACAATTTCCGCATATTCTAATGTTTAATATTAAACTGATGGATATTGTATGTTTATTATTGACAGAACAGTGTTTTCTCTCAATATTAAAGTATTTCAAAGCAATGCAGGCATTAATTCATTTTTTTTTTATCGATGAGCCACATGTATCCATTTTTCTGTACTTCAGGAAACCGGCTACCTATTTCACTACTGTGAAGTTTTTCAAGAAAGATAACTCTTACCTGCAATTACTATGTGCATATGTTTTTATTATAAAATGTCAATTTTTAATCGTTTATAGATAGTTTATTTGACATAATTTCAGCATTTATTAAATTAATATACATTAATGCAATACTAATCTATGGCAGTATCATTTTTATTGACTTCATTTTGCAAACAATTGTGTCTTTCATTTTTTTTTCAAAAGTCACTCCTTTTTACATAAATTTCCATTTAAATTCCGTAAAATTATGACAACCTATATTTTTTTTGTGGCAGAAAATTTTCTTTACTTCAAAGCAATATAACTACAAAATTTGAAGAAATTCTACTGAGAAATGGCGACACAATCCTATTACCTTAATGACAGGTCAGTATTGTGATGATGTCGCAATGTAAACGATGGATTGGCGTCACATTTAAACATGGTGTAACTAACAGCCGATATTCACTCTACAAAGACTGCAACAATAGAAATGCTCTCTTTATGGATAGGTGAAATATCCCAGAATCCAGGATGTAATAAGGTTTACAATTTCTTCACATAGGTGTACTGGTAAACAATACAAAAAGCTCATTCCCTCATTGCTTGACAAACTTTTAGTATATACATTTTTCGAAAATTTCAAAAACTGATGAATGTTTTTGAAAATGGTAATGATGTACTGTAAAGAAAGGGCCATACTGATGATAATAATAATAAGACTGATAATCAATTGTTCTTACATCCATTTCAGAGCCAGGGAAGAATTGACAAATGTTTCCAACCAGAAGCATTTTTAGAATCTAAAAAGGCAAAAAGGTCTGGTTTCAAAAAGGCTCTCTCAAAATTAACAACTGCTCCTACTTCTAATCTTTCCCAAACCGAGGCAAAGATGCTATGGATGAAAGACAGAAAAAGTTGAAAGGCAAAGCGATCAGTGAAAGGCAAACGTCAAAAGGGTAAAGGTAAAGGAAAGGGCAAAGGCAAGTTGAAAGGTGATTCTAAGAAGAGTGAAGGTAAGCCTTATAAGCTTATTAAGGAGGTTGTTGAGCTGTCGGAGAGTAGCTCAAGTGATGAGGAAATGGGTAGTGCATGTAAACCCAAAGTTAGTAAGTCAGCGAATGTTGCTGCTGCGTCTTCGGTGAGGAGAGATGAGTTGAAATCCCTCTCCCATCTGGAACCAGGATTTTGTCGGGACGACGATGAAGATACAAGCGAGACATTGGGACAAAAACTTAAATCTCACTTTGATCGTCTCGAAAAATTATTTGATACACAGATGGAAGTGCAACAGAAACCTAGTGGTAGACAGACGAGTAAAAGGAGGGGTAAACAATCCTCCAATACTGCTGATGAGGAAATGACAATGTCAAGGGTCTCACGGACATCGAAAACTAAGGCTCGCTCAAACTTGGCCAAGATGAACATCTCTGACTGTTCATCTGGTAATGATTATTGATGTAATCGTTTAAGGTTGTTCGACCTGACCTATTTCTATGTAATAGAGAGCTGTAACATTGTAGAGGGATTCTGTTTCTGTATAGGTACCATGTTATTCTGAAGGGCAATACAAGTATTGTATCTTCAGGGTGTTTTGATACTTAATTCTGATTTGTGAAAATTTAAAAAACACATTCAATAACATTTATATTAAAATTTGTTGTTAATTGAATGGAGCTAAATTCTGTTTCTTGTCTTGACAGTATATGCTTTGTGTATTGTCTGATCCTGGATTCAAAAAACTTTTCACCCTGTCTGTGCGCCCATCCTTCCAGAAAGTTTACCCATGAACATGTATATGAAAATTAATTTGTTGAAAAAAATATGTTCAGGTTGGACAATTTTAAATGTTTAGATATGATGATATATTTTTTAAGTGTTTTAATTTTGTTCACAATATTTCACTTTCATAAAATTGTCTGAAAAAAAATGCTGTTATATATATATTTAGAATTTAATAATTTGTAAAAATATTGCTTCCAATTGAAGTTTACTTAATACCTTTTTACTTCCCAAAAGTATGCTTGTTGTGAAAAGATGTGTGTTCAAAATTAAAACATATGCATGTTTGTTTTGTTTTTAGTTATTGTTCATTGTTAAAAATATAATATATTTCACCAACAAGTAAATAGAATTGTTGGTGCAATATGCCTTAATTGAATTGATACTAACCTATCAATGATTTGTGATATAAGTTATTGATTGAATTATTTGATGTATTTGTATAATGTTTTTTCCACAGGTAGAAAATGTTTAACTACAGATGTTATGTGGATTCACTATCAACTTGCTTGAAAGATTCAACAATGTGCAACTCGTTATTATTATGACACGACCTGCAAGAACCTTATTCCTCCCTATGAAGTAAATATCAACTGATTCTACAAGATTCTAGAATAACATCATTTTTTCATGATACAAGGACCCCAATCTTGGTCCATAAATGGCATGGGTATCATTTCCACATAATTCGGAGGATATACTGCACTTATTTACATGAAATGAGGATTTAAATTTAGTTTCATGAATGGTTGTCAACTGATTTTGAAAGATTCAAGAACACACAACATAAAAATTTCAATGATTTAGACCCGAAATATTTGTGTTCGAGATTTACAGTGTAGCTACAACACCCAGATTTCATGTCCACTACACAACATCACCAATACAGTAGCTACAACATCCAGATTTCATGTCCACTGTACACAACGTCACCAGTAGTGTAGCTACAACATCCAGATTTTATGTCCACTGTACACAACGTCACCAGTAGTGTAGCTACAACATC